CCAAGATTCTACTTCATTAATAACCTGATCTTCTGGGCTGCCAGTGTTTGACTGGGGTGCCGCTTCTTTCAGGTCTTCTTCTGGTTCAGCATAGCTGCAATCTGCTATAGAAAGTATCATGCGGGCTATTTGTTCGGCTTCGGGGTCGTCCATTTCGACCCACGAGATGATAGGATTTACTGCATCGATGTTGTGTCCATTAAACATTCGAAATGCAGTTGACTCCTCATCTGCCACTTTTTGTGCTCGTTGCGAGATTTCTTCAGCTTCCTCTCTCGCAATGGCTTGTTGTTTTTTACGAAGCCTCTGGTGGTGACACGTACTCGGGCATCGTGAGTATTTCCATTCTCCAGCTTGCCAGTTGATTTCTGGATTATGCTGATGTAAGTATGACATCCCAATGATCATGTCTAATTTCCCGATGTCCGTGACTAGCAGACGGTGGGTAGAACCATGATCTCCGACTTTGAGGTATGCTTTTACATAGTCGGTTATTTCTCCATGTTTATTTTGGGATCTGTCAGCATTGTACACCTTGTACGTTGTATTAAGCTTGGAGGTTGCGATTCGATTGTTCTTTACGAATCGCTTGCTGATGTACATGGAATATGCTCCTGAGTCGACTAAAGCTTCGGCGCTCAATTTTTTGCCATACACCCATAATGTAACTGGTAAATAGAATGATGATAAATTTGGAGACGAATTCTTTATTGTTACATTATCATCCTCTGCGTTGCGACGATCTACAGAGGTGTCTGATTTGGGTGCTAAATGTACAGGTCTTATATAATGTTCTGGGAACTCTGACGAGCTGCCTACAGATCCCCTTTGAGAAAACCCTTCCGATCCCTCCTTGAAGAGCCCTCTCCCGCCTTCCTTGATGAACTGGATCCATTCACCCTCAGGCGCCTGAGCCTTGAGAGGATCGCGGCAAAATCTTCGTCCGACTCGGATGCATCAGGCTCACTTTCTGAGTGGATGCTGCGGTCGCTGATATGTGCAGCTGTCTCCTTACCCTTCCCCTTAGTCTTAGAGGAAGAGCTCTTCTTCTTTGGCTTCTTCTCTTCTTCGGTGTCAGAGCTTTCGCTCTCTGCGTCTGATGAAGCGGAATCAGACACCACCTGTCGCGTCTTGGACGACTTGGATTTGTTCCTGGTGTCGTCCTTCTTCTTTGCGTCCTTCTTCTTCGCAGCTGTCTCTTTCTCCTTCTCAATCTGCCTCTTGACATGGTCCAATTTGAAACAATCGGTGCAATACTTGCTGAAGCGTTTTGACGATTTGAAGAACGTTGGTTTGTTCTTCTTGCAGTTGGCGCAAACCAACTTGTCATCTTGTACGCTCCGTGCTTTGCCCGATTTACTTTTCCCCTTCTTCCTAACTGCATCAACCTCCATAGCATTCGGGTCCTTGGTTTCGGCCTTGGCATGGTGGCCTTCTCGTTGTAGTGATGTGAATATCCGGAGTGCGAATGTAAGGAACTCGGTCCACTTCTTGGGCCAGTTGTCCTTAGTGGTGTCCGCCAGCATGAGCAGCCACGTTTTTTCTGGAATATGTTTCTTGATCTTTTCGATCAAGTCTTGATCCAAGAAGCCTGTACCGGTTGCCTTTGGACGGAAGTCTTCTGCAAACTTTCGGAAGTCTCGATGATCCTTCTTGACGAAGGCTTCTAACTCCGTTCGCTTCTTGTCGTCCGTGTCCAATGATTCATATGCCGTGCGAAGTTCAGCAACGAACTCCGCCCAAGTTCCTGGTGCCTTATTATTTTCGTTTATTTCGGTAATCCAATGTCACATGTATTCGCGTGCTCCTCCTTTCAGGAGCAAGAGGGTAGACATAATTTTGGACTCATCTTTTGTATGTCCAGTATATTTCAACCAGAGCATGACTTGTTCGAGCCAATCATCGAGATTGACTCCATTCTTATTGCCACCATATTTTTCTGGTTGGTCAATTTTTACGCCTTTACCCTTGCGACCAAACGACGGCTCATCGTTGTCATCCGTGTTGTCGACATTGTTACCACCTTGCCCTGCCTTCCTTCCCTGCGTAGATGCCCATGCGCAAAGTCGATCATGTGATTTCTTTAGGTCTTCTACTCTCGTTTGGAGATCCTTGACTTCATCGTCAAATGCCACAAACGCTTCGTTAGTGGTCTTGTTTTCCTCAAGTAAGGCTGAAGAGGTTTTCTCCAAATCTGTGATTCGAGACTCAGATTGTTGACGATGTTGGTTTAAGAAGACCGTCCGATTGTGAAACTCCGTGGTATTACGTTTCATTGTATGTGCTTGGTGCTGGATAAGATTTTCGTAATGCGCCACTGTTTGTTGACGCATCTCTTCCACCACGTTTGTGACGAGATCGACTACCCAATTCTTCACATTTTCGGGTATGTTCGCATTTGGGGGCGCCGTGTCAGCAAGGGCTTGACGAATGATAGGATTCGGGGGTTGCAAAACAATATTGAGACGTGCGGGAAGCTCCAGAGATGGAGCCCGAGAGAAGCTTGGATCATTTGGAGTGGGAGTCGTCATCTTACAATTCTTCCTCTATCTCACGAAGGTGTTCTTCGAACTCGACGATATGGCTATTGGCGATCGTAGCCTGTCGGCCAATTACTCGTCCTGAGCGTTGGTTTTGCAGCAAGCAAAGGTCTCGATGGATGACCTTGATGAAGGGTTGCCACAAAAACCTGGTTTTGTCCCTGACTGCAGGCCACTGATGGTTATGATGAATTTTGCAAATACGCTCGACTTCTTCGAGCCAATCGACGAAGCTATTGTAAGCTTCGGTGAGACGGTCTTCGGGTTCTTCGGATCCAATAGGGATATAGCAGATATGAACCACGACGTTCCTCCAATCAAATTCTGGATAGATTTGGAGGGCGTAGATGTGATATATGTTGTGGTAATCGATGTCGAACGTGTCCTCGTATGTAGCAAATGCTTCGCCTGCTCTGTCCTGAAGGGCACGTGGAATTGAATCCCAAAGATAATCGAAGGTATGACCGATTGGATTTAACTGCTCGAAGTTATCAAGATTGTTTGAATCGCCAGATGAAGACATATACAAAGTGAATATTCGTATCTACAGCAAAGGTCGCCCTGTGACCTGTATTCCTAGACGATACTTCTGGATAATATCTCTGATTATCCAGCGAGCTTCTCCACCCTGATGCTTCCTTTCCTGGACGTAGTTGCAGAAGTCGCGAACCATGTGTTGATGAACGAAGGAAAGCTTGAATTCCGTGATGTCAGTGCGGATGGATTTGAGCTTGAGTATGAGATGCTCGAGGTCGAAGATGTCGTGGTCGTCAAGCTGACGATGGTATCGTTTGGTGAGTAGGATACGAATTTGTCGAAGGGTGCCTTCGACGCGCTGAGTCGAGATGATGGAGACGGCGAGAGGATAGATGAAATGAGACCCTGTAGCGGTCTCGACGTATGTCCCTTGATTGAGATCTGGACCAGATGGTCCTGCAGGTAGTCTCGGTCACCTGACCGAGGGAGTCTGGATAATAGAAACTGAACTAGTGCCACGAGGGGGCCGACCTCTCGTAGAAATGTGTCCTGGCCTTGGCAGGGGTCTTATGGGCCGCTGCTCATAGAACTCTTCTGGAGTTCTCGCTCGAGGACGACGGATGACACCGTCGATGCTGCGCAATGCCTTGGTGCGGCTTACGCTGGTAGAGTCAGTGACTGATGGAACGTCAGGTGAAGATATGACACCGCTAACGTGCGGGTGGACGTGCGAAGACGCAACACTGCGGCGAGTATGCTGGGCAGGCACTCGAGGCAGGTAAGATAAGCAGACTTATTCTTCTATCACAAACTTAGGATGCAGAGCGCCAACTAAGCCTATGACCTTATGATCAAACACTTACTGACTGTTGTCGAAGTAAGGATGGACACAAAGATGATCAAGATAAAGCAGTGCCTTGCAAGTGAGCACTGGTAACACTGTATGGATAGGCGTAGCAGAGATGAGAATAAGTCTGGGGGACTTATGCGTCTCAGAGCTCTGGCTTATATACATGAGCGGAGGGACCCTTGGTACCCTGATACCCCAGAACCGCTAGCTAATGGACATTGTCTGATTGGTTATCACTACCTGTCAGACTACGTGTGTCATGCATGCCGAACCTCCGAACTACTTAGTAAGACCATGGGAATGGTATTGCCTGTAATGGCTACATCTCCGGTGGCGTGGTATCTATCTACCTCGTGTATGTGAACTAATATCCCCTTAAGGGCATATCTCCGGTGTCGTGTATCTCCTTTGTTGGATTCTTCCGGAGTCCGACCGTTGCTTCTAGGTGGGATGATATTACTGTATAAGTTAGGCTTACCTAATACCAGCGCTACTTGTCACATGTGTGGATATCACGTGATATGTCACGTGACTAGACCTGGACCTTCGGGGCGTCTAGGACTGTTAGTACTTCGCGTACCGGTTCGTTCCTTTCTGAACAGCCTAGCGCTGATGTCAAATGATGTCTTGGTTACGTGCAGAGGTGAAAACGTAAAAATCTGTGACAGTCATGTTGCTTGAATATGAAGTGTGTGGGTCGACACACATGTAATGATGCTGTCATGCCGAAAACTTGGTGCGGGTGTACAGCACAATTGTAGCTTCTCGACCATGTGTCCACAGTAGACTATCGAAGGCAACAACTTGCTCGCGAACACATTTTGGAGTCTGTCGTGATACCATACGGTGCTCGTAGAGTCAAAAAACCAGCAGGTAAAGTGATTGACTCCATGCTAAATGATATCAATGAGAGCATTTGGAACGGTGTTTTGTCTAACAGATAATGTGATACCACATTGGACGTGAATCTGTGGTTGACCCATCGTATGACCACGCTGAATGTTAAAACGTTAATACTGAGTAAAGGAGGTGAAGGCTGTACTGTGTCGTTGTAGCTGGTGCTTCTTCCTTATCATTCTTCATTTCATTCCTTTCTTGCATATTCCCGCTACGACAGTAGTGGGTCTTACCGTCGCATCTTGAACCAGTTTCCTATCAAAAATCAGCAGCACGTGAATGCTCCACTGTCTAGAGATCCATTGACTTCGCATTGGCCGCTTACTTTGCCCCATCTGCGCTCATCAGTGTTTAACTCGATGTGTCGTCTGCATCTTGTCGGCAACTATGCAGATATTGTTGCGTCAATCCTGGTAGACAATTCTTTTGAAACGTCACTCATCTCATTTGCTTTCCCATGCTTACACAATCTGCCACATTCAGTGCGGGTGGAAAACTCCATCGCATATTCATCCGCCTCTGGACCAGTTCATGTTCCCTCTAAGTCTGATTTTTTCACCTCCTCGTTGTCTATGTCTATCGATTCTCTTGCGTTCTTTGACATCGCTCTGAGTCGCGACTGGCTTTCAATCTGTTGTGTATCAATCAACAGTTTTGATATATGTGATCCACCATCGTTTTTTGTTCACTCCCCTCTACATGGTCACTGTTGGACTCAGAAAGAGAATGCTGTTGATGGTGTGTTGGTTTTTTTTTGTTCGTTCATGCTTTACTTAGATCATTTTTGCAAGTGTCATTTTCGTCTGTTGACGACAAGTCTTCTGTCATCCGTAGTAACGGTGTGTACTCTGCTTTTGTTCACCATGTGCTGCAGTACTCACTGTTGTTTGCTCTTTACTATGCGTTGTTTATATGATATGTCTTTGCATGTGCATGTTCACTGTTAACCAGGTTCCTACCGAGCAACATCACCTCCTGCACATGCCCTACCTCACATCGATAGGTGTTCTCTACACAGCTCCGTAAACGTTAAAACCAATATATTTATCGTATCCACATATGTAAGACCAGCCCGTCCATCGACGCAACATATGAAATCAATAATCGTCGTAGCAGGCGCTGCCGGTACCGGCCCTATCCTTATCAATGACTATCATGTTCAACCGTCATTTGGAACCGGCGCTCGGCTCCAACTCCACCCAAATTTATAAATCGCGTCATGTCTGCCGTGTGTACTATTCCCCACCTCTCGCGATCACGTGCGGGCGCTCCGGAAAATACCGAGCATGTCAAGTGGCGGTGTAGTAACACTAAAACATTGGCAGATTCGGGCTGTTCGAAGATTGACTGCAGCCGCTGTTGGCAGCCAGCCCTCAATGCAGACCTCTCTACGGATTGGACACGTACATACGCGGTTATTGCATAATGCCTTCCCCATCCCCACAAGGACGACCCGAAACTGTCTGTATGTCTCTGCTAGACGATTATTGTCTCACCAAGCTCTTGTTCATCATCCGTCAAGTTCCGACAGAGGTTATAGGTTTGTGTATGCTTCTTGACTGCACAGAGCGGAAGAACCTGGTTGTCACCAGCGCCGAGTTCGTCTACAAGAAGCAAACACACATCGTCCGCGTGAAAGAGGAGGTGATATGTTGCGCTAGGTATGATCATGATCTTGACTAATTTGTTTGTGGTACATTGATGTCGCTGTATTTTATGTCCAGCACCAACAAGTCACCTCAAATGTTTGAGGTCTCGGGCATCGGGCGATGTGTGCTCTTGAGCAATATCCGCGTGCCTGTGCGGTCGAGCTCCCGGGTGTTGGTGAGAATGTGCAAGACCAACGCCACGTGCAGTATACTAGTCCATGATTGTCATAGGTTCGTCAATTCTCGCTGAAGGTGAGAGGCGGCTTCAGGTATTTCATAAGAATTGGATGCTACCGTGACACACAAGACGTTTGATCTGTTCCACTATCATTCGTCGCGCATTGGCGCGCTACGCTTGGGCGGGTCGGGTCAAAGCCTGCCTCATCCGAGGGCTCTGCTGTCCCTATGACATATCACTCGCCATGTCTCATCGCCGCAGAGCACAGAACCGAAATAGGATGCATTGTCATAACGTCAGTGCATTTCCGTGCTTTTCGATCCAGGTGGTCTGTTCCAGCGAGTCATCCACGGTTGGAGACGGCATTGCAATGGCTTTTCGGAAGATCAGAAGCAATGCGGGACTCTTCTTCCTAGATATTCGGAACAATGTGACTTACAGGTACGCATGATCAAGGATCCGACATTGCCGGACCTAGAGCTCATTGAGTTCCGGGGATCCTTGACCTTCCGCAGTGCGCTAGATGTATACAAGGAACGCCTGCACTGGTTTCATCGACATCTCGCAGCTCGGCCGATGCTGCCAAGGCCAGTGTGCGTCTTGATCGTTGAGTTTCGGTGAAGCGTACTTGACGGCCGACCCCTCACAGCTGACCATTTTTGCAGTGCTGCAGTATTCATCTTCTCGGTAAGATGCCATTGACAATGTGTGAAATAACGCTCACACGTTGCGGATTGCCATAGAGTTCTGTTGTGCGTGGCCACGGACACTGAGACGTTGTTTGGCATCCGCACCCTCGGTGGCATGCCCGAAGCAGCGACCCGTTGAAAGATCCTGAAACAGACCCTCTCGTCTCGCCGAATCCACGCGGAAACTGAATGAGCCTTCGCATGACAGTGAAAATGACGTGCCTGCTACCTTCTGCAGACTTGAAATTCCTCGCGCAAGGGCTCAAATTCGTCAAGGAGTTGACCAAAGGTGAGCCTTTGAAGTCGATTGTGGGGCGCAAATGCACCTTGGGAAGAATGCTCATACCTTAAAGGCGCTGGCAATCTGTATTCCCAGACTTGTCCGTCTGCTTGTTGCATTTGAACACTCCAGTGACGCAGAATATGTCAAGCAGTTTTGTAATACGAGCTGTAGTGCGTTTGGCAGCTTGATCGTGCTACCGCGAGAGAGGAATGGAAGCATGCATCCTCATTGACAAGCGCGTACTTCGGCCTGTTCGCTTCCGATATATTTCTCCGACCAGAGGTCGGATCTAGTCCAGGTAATACTGTATACGATATATAGAATCTGCGCGTTAACGATGTATTGGTAGTACTGCTCAGCGTTGCTGCTCACATCCCAACCGCTGTATGTTGCATGAATATTTCGGTCCGACCTAGCCTTTTCCGTCTAGGAAACCTGTGGATACTCTTAATTTAGTTTATACCAAGCAACTGTTAAGAGTTCACGCAATAATCGCTGTATTCTGACGGCATCTGAGCATCGGATGCTTTTCATGAACGTCTGTAACAATAGCCATACAGAAGGAAACGAAAAGAACTCGCCATCTGAGAACTAAAGCAAATTCCAGTGGCAACTTTTAACCCTCTCTTGACTCTCCCTGCTGCTGCGATCGTCGATAGAACCAGTTGTATGAGTGGAAAATTCTTACAACAGTTACAGCGGCCCATGTGCGATTGCATGTAGAGGTATCGTGCCATGCACGAAGTTGCGGCGGTAGTACTAACCGTACTCCTACTAAGGTGCACATTCTATGCTGACCTTCAAGCACTTGATCGCAGTGTCTTAATCTGCTCTATGTCCTCCTCTACTTTCATAAACGTAAGAATGCGAATCCGTCCTTGCTCTGACCGCTATGTATTTGTGCTGCCAGATTCCGAGTCGGTAGGGTTTCGATGCCCCGTGCGGCCCGTGGACCAGGCTGCCACTACCGGCGTCTCCCGGGCCTCTGCAACAAAGATCTTTCATCATTGACTGTCATCATGGCTATGACCTTCCCGCGATCCCTCGGCTCTGCAAATTACACATAGCGCTCTTCCGAAGAACAATCTCCTATCAATATCGCACTTATGGCGCTATGTCGTCCAATCATCCTTGCCCGCCGGCATCGGTGTCATTATGGAACTCCCGTCGTGAGCGGGGGCTGACATGCGAAGTCCTGCAATTCGTCTCTTTGGCTCAGAGCCTCTGGTCTTATATCGCTAATTCTAGGAAACATCGCCATGCCGTATGGAGGTCACGGCAGTCCTCTCGCGCTTTGATAGATCTTGAAATTACCTAGATATCACGCTGGACGCATATGACTCAGAAGCGCAGGACTACATGCCTGGAAAAGACTCAGACTGCGTGTGTCTATGCGCTTCAGTTTAGGAGACGACGGTGATACCTGTGTGATACGGTCCTCTTGCGCGCCGTGGTCGATATCAGGACCATCGGGAGCGCCTTTATTGCAGCTGGGAAAAACTCTTAGTAAGTAGCATTAGCAAAGACTATCACCTTTACACCACATGAATTGCCTTGGTCAGCTCACTGAGAAACCCAAAGAATAGTCACTGAGAACAGCAGACTCATGTGGCCATCCTTTCCTCCACTTCCTCGTCTATCAAACGGTAGTTGAGATCGTGAGTGGATTGAATTGGCGAAACAGCTCATTGCTCCCACAATTTGCGCTCAAGGACTGCCTGCATCAGTTGATCGTTTCATGGGTCATGCCGCGCTTTATGCGGGGAAGAGACGGCATGTGAGCTCGGCTGCCTTTGTGGCAATGGTGCTTGCCAAATCAGTGCACCTTCTTCGTGGCTTGATCACAGAATTCCGTCGCGTCTCTGATCTGGAATCAGAACTCAGGCTTGTCAAATAGCTAACCTAGATGTGGATTCATTCTCATGCAGTGCGACGCATACAAGGTCATGGTGCTAAACTACGAACGGGTATGAATTCTCACACCATAGCTTTGAGAAGGTACGCCGGATCCTTGCGGCAGGCACAGCTATATAACGACCCACATTCCAAAGCAGGTCCTTCGATAGACACACTATCGTGCAGCATGGCTGTCATCGATATGCTCCTTTGCCCTCCTCTTGACGGCACAGTCTCTGTACTCCCCGGCTTCTTGGATTTTCATGCGCACTACAATCCCACTGTCTCGTTGTTTGAGTTGGTGTCTGACGACGAGCACAACGACGATGCGACAATTAGTTTCCAGCAATTCGCTCACGCCACGCACCGGATCGCCCATATCTTCCACCCACTTCGGCCTAGCTCTGGCCGGATTGTGGTTGCTCTGTTGATCAGCAGTGATGGTCTCCTTCATCATGCTCTGTTGGTGGGCTTGATTCGTGCTGGTATCATCCCATTTCCCATGATGCCGCGCAACTCGGCTCCTGCCATTATCAGCATGCTCGAGCGGACTGATTGCCATCACATCATCTCCCAACCCGCTTTTGCACCCCTCATCGCTGCCATTCGATCGACAAACACTGATTATATCATCCACCTCCACGACCTGCCAGCGATCTCAGCTATCTTTCCGGAGCTTATTCAAAAAGCTAATGCTACGGTTCCCGAACCATACCCATTATCTCAACTTGCAGTTGCTCCCTTGGACATTGTATTCTATCTGCATTCGTCTGGATCGACAGGCCTTCCCAAACCGATACCTCTGTCTCAAAGGGACATTCTTTCCTGGTGTTGTAGTTCGTCTCACATAGATGCTCGAGATCATGGGCTGCATTGGGGTGCTATGTCGCTCCCAGCCTTCCACATGCTTGGAATCATCATTGGACTTTTCACGCCCCTGATGTCCGGCCGGAGCTCTGCCCTGTTTCTTCCCCGTGCTCATCGGTCGCTGCCGCCGGTGATCCCAACTCCGGAAAATACCATCACAGCAGCACGCCATGCACATATTGATATTCTAATGGTCGTTCCTACATTTCTCGAAGTATGTATCACGTAACGCAGTATGATCAGCTGATTAACTGCACAATCAGGCTTGGGCCAAAGATGATGGGAGCGTGCGATATTTGTCCTCACTATCTGCAGTGGCAAGTCCCGCTTCGCTCTCTCGTATAATTGCCTGTGCTTATTCTCGCGACATGCTAGACGTTTAGCGGTGGTCCTGTAAGCAACGCATCTGGTACACGACTCGCGGCTGCAGGCGTTAATCTGTATTCCATCTACGGGGGCACGGAATTTGGCGCGCCTGTGCGTATCTTCGACTTAGATGATGATCCCCACAACATAAGAGACGCCAAGAAGAAGACGCGCTTGGATTGGAACTACATGCAATTTTACGAGAAGTGCATGCCGCGCTGGGTGCCCGAGGTTAACGGCCTGTACGAGTTGCAACTGCTGGTATGTGGGCTCAAGAAGACTGTCTTAGCTGCTGGAGTTTAACGTTTCGGTCGGAATGATATCACCCGTAGTCTTGTCCAGGACATTCATTAAGCGTGGAGAACCTGCCGAATGGCGAATGTGGTTATGCTACATCTGATCTATGGGAGCCACATCCTTCAAAGCCGGGACTTTGGCGGATGTGCGTGTCTGTTCAAATCGTCCTCCCACAGCTTCTCATCTAATCACGATGATCTTCGCGCTCCAGTGTTGGTCGTAAGGATGATATCATCGTGCTCAGCACAGGTAGGACCTGCTTATGAGTAGATCGCTTACACCTTTGATCTTCCTTTGTCTACCAGGAGAGAAGGTCTCGGCAGAGCAAGAACGCACTATTTGTTCCAGCCCAATGGTGGGTGGAGCCCTCATGTTTGGCAGGGGCCATGCGCACCTCGGGGTGCTTGTAGAGCCTCACCCGAGCGAAGTGGTTGTTCCTCAGGACGAATCGGCGCTTGCAAAATTGCGGAATGCCCTATGGTGGGTTGAATGCCATATCTTCATGAAAAGTGAAGCTCACAGTTGTAATTGTAGGCCGTACGTAGAAGAGGCGAATCGCATGATGCCAGCGTTCGCTCGCATTTACAAGGAGATGATTTTGGTGACTGATCCTTCTCGTCCCCTCGTCCGTGCCGGGAAGGGAACAGTTATACGCGCACCATCGCTTGCGCTCTACGAAACAGAGATTGAAGCGCTGTAAGTTTATCGTCTTCAGAACACCGCCTGCGTGCTTTGACTCATATTCATTGATGAATATAGGTATAAAGCTGTGGAGGAAAGTTCAAATCTCATAGACGTTGAGTCACCTCGCTCGTGGACGGAATCAGAAGTTGCAGAGTGGTTGGCCATCCAAGCGACATCGGTAAACAACCATCACACGGTCACGAAGTCCAAAGACCTTTTCGAGCAAGGATTTGATAGGTGATCATATATTTGCTTGTATGGCTTGCTTCCGTCCGGTTACTCATGACATGCCTATTCAGTCTCAGTGCAACGCTCCTTCGTAACAGAATCATAGGCGCACTGAGTGCGTCATCCGATGTTGCTGCAAATACCGCCTCCCGTGAGATCCACTCCGATTTCGTTTTTTCTTACCCTACGATAGGCGAACTCGCTGCTGCAATTTCCAATCTAGTAAACCCGGGGAGTCCAACACGGCTAGCCGTAAAATCTCCAGTGCAACACATGACCATGTTGATACAGAAACACGCTGCTGATTTGACACCGGCACCAAACCTCGACGACGTTGATGGTGCAGGCCGTAGGATAATTATGATTACAGGAACGACGGGTACCCTGGGTGCACATGTTCTTGCTGCATCTCTTGTGGATGAGCGTGTGGCTCGGATAATTGCGGTCAATCGTGGCTCATCGCTGCTTGAACGGCATAGGAAGGCCTTCGAGGCTGCAAGGCTTCCCCTCGATATTCTCTCAAACAAAAAGCTCTCCTTTTTGGGTTGCGACTTTGATCAAGACGACCTTGGATTGGACTGCGCTACAGTGAAGGAGGTATGTCTCTCCTTTGTGAACAGAATCCTGTGCCTAATGAGTTCTGCCTAGCTTCGTTCAACTGTGACACATGTTGTGCATTCCGCGTGGCGGCTGGACTTCAACCTGAGCCTTTCTTCTTTCGAAGGGCATATCAGTGCTGTGGTGCGGCTCATGAAGACGCTCCCCAGAGCGCACTTAATCTTCACATCCTCTGTCTCCGCCGTGCAGTCATGGAACATTTCGGAACAAGGGCTGTCTGTACCAGAAGTGCCGATCGAGGACCCGACAGTCGCTATAGGGACTGGATATGGGATGTCCAAATATGTGGTGGAACAAGTACGTTCGTCTGTCCGTCACATCTTCAGTACATTGAGCATTCATCGATCTGAATAGATACTTTCCAAGGCAAGCAACATTGGATGGCACACCACTACTGTTCGCATTGGGCAAATATGCGGCTCAGTTGAGACCGGTGCATGGAAATCATCAGAGTGGGTGCCAAGTCTCCTGAAATCCAGCATTGCATTAGGCTGCCTGCCCATAATGGAAGGGGTGAGCTTGTCGAGTCGGCTCTCAGATATGCATACTCATGATTTCGTTAGACGGTGTCATGGATCCCAATGCCAGCAGTTGCGCTTAGCGTCATAGACGTCGTGATGACAGAGAAATATCCTGTGCTGGTCAACTTGTCTCATCCGCGTCCAACTCCGTCACACGATGTGTTCCATGCCTTCAACTCTGCTCTCGGTCTCGGACTACCCTTCGTATCCATGGAACGATGGGTGTTGAAGCTCGAACAGTTCGCAAAACGTCCATCTGCGAAGGATATTTCTGACATGGTGAGTTCGTGCTGCGGGTCAAATCATCTCCTGCACAATACTGAACGAAGGCGCGCAGCCTGGCATCAAGCTGCTTGACTTTTTCCGAGCTCTCACAATGCGAATGAAACAGACAAAAGATGCTCAAACGATCTCATACGAGATGGGCGGACTCCCCTTACTCGCAACCTCCGAGGCGTCACAATTATGTCCTACTGTTAGGGATTTGAGACCTCTGTGCCCGGAGTATGCTACAGCCTGGGTGAAGTTTTGGAGGAACGAGGGCTTCATTGTATGACATTGATTGGGTAATCAAATCCACGGATCAGACCAGTTGGGATGTCTGAGGGGTTCTCACATTCTATCGGTTGCCGGAATTGATGAACAATGGTAGAACTTCAACCACATGCTCGCGCGGTACGGATTCGCGAACCCACGTTGAATTGCCTTCTATCGTGTATCAGAGAATCGTAGGTGCCGTAATGATTCATCACGGACATGGCATGATGCCATCGACGACAATTCACAGCCTTGATCGCAGCGCTGCGCAACCCCGCTCTGCATCATTTTGCATCCGTAGGTTGCCTCTGATTTCGATTCACTGACCTATGTGACTTGGCGGATACATCGGTTACGTACGTGCCTTCTTTGTTCGATCAAGCAGACTTGTATTTATTGGGCATAGCGTCTTCTGTCCAGGACGCAAGGCTGCATCCAGCTGAGATGCTGGGCCAGCGGTATTCCGTCCTGTGGGAGGATTGGCATTATGCGGGTATGCATGTTATGAAGTTCACTCGTCAGCAATCGTGCGTGCGGCCTGCAATTATTTGTCACATATTCGTCGCAGTGGGTGACTCCAATGGCAGGAAGCTCATCCTTGTCATTACTAGGACCACGGGCGGTCAAGGTCTCGCTATTATAGAGAAACTGTTGGCGCCATGCAGACAGACTTTCAACGTATGCGTCCGCGCATTGACCTGGATTCAAACAATTACCGTGCTAGAAAGTTACGTTCATGGGGAGCGGAATGCGTTCAAAGTTTGATTAAGCACTTTGGTTGGTCACCGAAGTGTGACGTGCGCGTGAAGGGTGATGTTCACAGGCGTTATGATAACTTGGCATGCGTAGGCCTGGCCCTCAAATTGGCTTACAGAGCATGGATCAACACGGACGCGGCTTTAGCGTCGGCGAAGAGCAGGAGCTTTGGGCTGAGATCCTCATCTTTGAACTTGCCAAACAAGCGGGCGTGAGGCAGCTGATATGGTTGAATAATATAAACATTTCCGTAGAAAATCAGATCAATCAACCATTCAGAATGGAAACTGACATGACCATTGCCGTGCACAGATTAGGATAGTTGTACGAAAATGTATTGAAGACCTGACGTGGACGAGACTTCCTAGTTGACGATGTGCGCGCTCATCTGATGAATCAAATCCAAGCTTTCCTGCGACCTCGGGCGGACATCGCATTTCAAGTCGATTGGTTGACTGAGAGTGTGGGTCAACAGCGAATTCACGTCTTATAGTCAAAGCAACATACTTGATGAACCCAGAAGTCCAAACTGCCTTGGGCGTGATCTTCTCACCACCAGGTCCTACGACCTTCTCGATCTTCAGCGTCGCTACGATATTCGCCATAGCAAGCCACAAGCTATCGTCTGCCATCAGGCGGCCAGGGCAGATGCTGGTTCGAGGTGGGTTCTTCAGCTTTAAACTTCAGCGCGAAGCAGCTTGACACTCACCGCCGTCCGAACCCGAAGACCATATTACGTGGATCCGGTACCTCGGACTCGTTAGTATTCAAGAAGCGCTCTGGGCGGAACGATTCCGGTTCCGGGTAACAACGCTCGTCTCTGGTCATAGCCCTATCGATCGATGTAAACAACTACACATGCGGCTCGAGATATACATTCGCACCAGATGTTTGGGAGCACTGTCGAGCCCTCAGGTATGTCATATCCGCGGTACTCATCGTCGGACATGAGTCTGTGCACCAATCCTGTATGGCTCTTGAATGAGCGATATAAGAGGCGTGACAACTGGGACTACTGACCAAGAGGGGCTGGACATCCCCATCTGAGATATTAAGAGTAAATAGTAGGGCAACAGCAACAGTTGTGATGCACTCACCGGTATACCTCCTTCAAAATACATCCGAGGTATGGCAGCTGCGCCCGGTCATCGAGCTCAGGCAGACGTCCATGTCCGATGACCCGATCCATCTCTTCCTGAGCCTTTCTGTAGATATCCGGATGTATCACCATCGCCAGGAAAAACGATGACAGAGTTGAAACCGTCTGAGTGGCAACAATGATGCTCAAATTTCGAAAACAAAAACTCAATAAAATGCTCACGGTTTCTGTACCGGCTGCATAGAGCACTCCAGCAGCGCCCTTGATGTCGATCTCGTCCTGTTCTGTCACCTTCCCTTGGCTCTGCATCTCCGCAAGCACAGACGATGTCAGCGAAGGGCGGGCGGTACCTGCTGCCTGCACAACGTTAGTTTTCTTTGACCAGTCAGGCAAGACGACACCGCGTACCATGGCTTTTTTGACCATTTCGAACGGAGTGTCGAGCATCATCTGAGCCGCAGCGGCGACCAGGCGTGATTTACGAAGGAACCAGCCCACCGGTCCCGGGAACCACATGGGAAGACGTTTCACTGAAGTGTTATGCGGTTAGGGTGCTGCCGAGCTGATTGAATGAAATAGAGCCTCACAATACTTCTTCGGAATGAAGTCGACGAACATGAGGCCGGGATAGCCGCCCTCGACGATCTCGCCCATGGCTCGGTCAGCGAGGTGGACGTATGCATCGTCGATGGTCGTGATAGTGTGCCCGTATCCCATCTCTACCAGCAATCCTGCTGCGAATCTGAAGAGATTGTCTCAACGTTATTCATGCCTTCAAGGAAACTGAGCACTGACCGGTTGATGTGGAGCTGCAAAGCCTCGGGCTTCTCGCAAAGTCCAGATATCAGGTTGTACGCCTCTCTCTGCTGCGTCGGAACGAGGGTCTTGAGTCCAGCCTTTGTGCCAAGTGCGTCGTGCATCCACTTCCGATATCGGCGGAAACGGTCGCCGTAGGGCATTCCCACGAGACTACTGTCCCATCCTGCCCTGTTTGATCTCAATGTTAGTCGCAAGTAGACAACCTCGGCCAATAGACACGCTACATGTCAGAAACAATGGTGATTTGAGGACGATCGGAGTACTTCGAGCTCCTCTTGTCCAGAAGGTCCTGAGCAGCCTCCAACGTGTTCAATATGATTACTGGCGTTCTAAGAAATCGGACATAGACGACATCCCCTATCCCACTCGTCAATATATTGAAGGCATGTGGATGACCATGCACACACCGTATTGCTGCGCCCACTCTGTGAAAGTCCTCTCCTTAAAGATCGCGGGCAGTTGGAGCAGATTGCCCACAATCGGGAGTGAACTGGGTCCAGGAGGAAGTCGCAACTTGCGTCCGCTGACTCCAAGCTGAGATGTCAAGAAACGGATCGCAACGATCAACAGGATCGCGACAGTGGCATACGCTTGGAAGCCGTATGTCGACGCCATCGTGAAGCGTTGAGGTCGAGACGAAAGAAAACAGTACCGTCAGTCACAGTGCTCGGCACATTTATCTGTGGACATTCAATGTCATAAGTGTGGGACGGTCGTCTCCAGGCATGATTGCTAATAGAGCGCCTCACGCACCAGGATACACATGATGACATGTTGAATGATGGTAGACGTCTCGTTCAAAACGCTAGTGGCCATCTTTCTCGTAATTCCAAAGTGCGTTTGAGTAGCCAGCCAATCATTGCACGTTTCACAAAGGCCAAATGTTCGTGAATGTGTCACTGTCGAGCCCGATGATGCACACTCTTCAAGCGCATGCTGAACCCTTCAAGGACGATGTGCGGAACGTTGCGGCCTCGGCCGCGGAAGGTATGGCTTCTATCAACCGCTCAACCGTACGAAGGGCAACGGGACTATCCTTTGCCAAAATCCTCCGCAAAATGCGACTTCTCTCACCCACGGGTTCAGGAACGACATCTGATGTTGATGGTCTGCTCGCCGATGACCGACCGTTCTACCCGATCAGAGCGAAGTATGTTTCAGCACTTGGGTAAGCCCAATAATAGTCTTCTATCATTGGCGCTATACATCACGGGAATCGGTGGCACTCCGTTGGTAAGAGCCATGATGCATCAATGGTAAGAGACGACTGTACCTCGGGGAGATTGTATGGGAATCGCTGACGGTGCGGTATCCGTAATGTTTCCGTTGAGGCGGAGGGAGAGGAGGGGCCTGATATTCCTGCTGACCTCGTCCTGATAGCGTTCCTCGCCGAACCTGACTGAAGACCAGAGGCGATCAAAGCGGCTAGAAACTTGTGCATTAGCCACGTATGTTCAAGGCCGCTATTTATGTGGTCCGAAACCGCTGACCATGTGCATGATGACTCATGAGACACATGTCTACTTTCCAACATGGTCGTTCTCAGTGTCAAACGATGTGCATGGATGGTGACATGGATGCTGCGAAGGCATAATCTCAAATCAGGTTCAGCTGTGATAAATTAAGCGCCTCAGCTTAGCTTGCGCAGCTCAGCCGTCTTCGAGCGTCTAATTGCTTCAGCCACAACTGCGAACTCCGGCGTGTACTTCCGATAATTCTGTGATGACGGGCCTGTGGTCTTATTTCTGCTGTTTGAAATCCGCGTAATAATAAAATCTCTATTGCAGTCTTTCAAGGCTTGTTCGGCGGATGTTAGCTTGGCGGAATTGCGGCCGAGTCAAGAATCAAGATTAGCCTCAGTGGTCCCGTCAATTCCTCGTCCCACTTATTGACAAGTCAGCACGTTCATCTGGTATGATGCGGTTTCATCTAATAGCTTGTACGCTGTTTGAGTCGTCAGCCTTGTAACGTCAACGTTGGGTTTTGCTGCTGTAAAGTCCAATGTACTGGCATCGTGCGAAGTTCGAACCACGAGTACGTCCTGCCACCTGGTTCACGTCAATTATGCATGAAAAAGTTGTCAGGAGACAAATGCTCTCCACCATTGTCTTGTTTCTGTACATCGATCTCCAGTCGTGTAGATCCGGCGGATGTCGAGCCTGTCGTGCCTTCTACATGTTGCCTTTCAGCATAGTACTGTGGCTTCGTGATATCCGATCTCATCAAAGAGGTACAGGAACCTGGCAAGATCCAGACGGATTGTTCTCTCGCTTTGGTGCGCGTGGCAAAGCACTGGCGATGTGCTAGGACTCTTAACGGAGCGATTGCATGACCGCCATGTCGAATTGGATACGGACCTATCCGTGCTGTTGTACTCACCGTCTCTTGCGGGGAGTGCATTCTAGGACTTGGTACTCGGTTCATCATCTGAAATCAGCGCACCTATGTCTCGAAGGGCATTCCGGCTTAATGGGCAACTTTCAATCCAGCACAAAAACATATCTTCTCAAGCACTGTCCGCTCTAACCTTTCGCCAGGACTATAAAACAGCGCAAACAATGAGTTTCGCTCCACAACCCGTCAAATCATTCAATTAGCAAGTCACACCTGCTATTACCTCGTCACGACATACCATGTCAAGTCCCGATACGTGCCCTCTGGGTCAATGTTGGTGATCGGCTGCTATGTTGGGACGGCTTACTAAGGAATGAGCTAGGTTACTGAATAGGCTTGACTGATCCTCCTCTAGGCTTATAGAAAGGCTGCTCCGAGCTTTACAATACGCGTACCTTCAAGGAGACGTAAGTCCCGACCGCGAGGATCTAGTCAAGATGGCTGCTGCTTCGATCTGTGCTGGCGAGTAATTCTGACATCTCAGCTGATAGTGGCTAACAGTCATGGATTTTCTGGGTTTCAGGAGGCGAGGACACGATTAGACGGCCTTCATCGGTTTCCCATGTCAATTATCTTATCATGTGCATCTGTTGCAGACCGTCTCAGGCTCAGCCGTCAGCACCTTCTTCGTGGTGATGCTGCCATACCCTGACGTCCTGAAGAAGGCTCAATAAGAGATGGACACTGATTGGTACCGAAAGAATCCCGCGCATGGAAGATCGCGATCGATTACCTTACGTGAATGCTCTCATTTCAGGAGGGCTTTCGATGGCCATCCCCTCCCATACCGTTGACTACGCATTGATCCCTACTTTCAACGACAAATGAGAAACTCATTTCATCGCAGGTATGTCTCATAGACTGACCGAAATACGACGTGCGTGCCGGCTACTTTCTCCCTCAAGGGACCATTGTCCTAACAAACATATGGTGACAGAGCACGTTCGTAGCCAGCGTGGAACAAGTCTCTGATCAACCGCCTAGCAGAAAAAACGCTTCATGACCCAGGGATCTATGCGGATCCCTTCGCATTCAATCCCGACTCGGACAGATTCCTGATTTCTGGCAACAGGAATCTCGAGCCTGACTTTCGCGAGGTTCTCTGGGGCTTTGGAAGATGGGAGATGCTATCGCTGTATGAAGGAGGAGGCCAGATTAAGAAGCACACCCTTCCAGTATATGCTCAGGTCCGCCGCGACTATTCAAACCGTATACCGGACGTTGGTCACTGACGTGTCCTTCAGGGTAACATCTAGCAGAGACACATGGGTATACTTGATATCGGTGAGAATTGCGGTAACGTTCGACACCGCGAAAGTCCGAATAGATGGTGTAGTCACCGAACCGTCGGCAGAGCTCACTACTAGTGCAGGAACAGTGAGATGTACCTCTCTGCGTTCTGTTTCTCCTTGATACTGCTGAGAGGACGAATCAGCCACAGCTGACCGAAACCATTTCATTGCTTGCGGACACCTCGGTCAGCCAAGGCAGAAGCATTGGTCCACGAGATTGCTAGGCGGCGTACGCCTCCCCATGCTACGTGTTTCATTGACGCCGACTCGGACAGCAGCTTCGATTGTGCCACTCGCAACACGGGCCATGTCTCTACACTACGCCCTTCCCGCCAGAGGCGCTTCTATGTCGGAATGCGAGACCGATGCTCAACTGCCCCGAGGCGGGCCTGCAAGGTACCTCGGATCAAATGCGAGGAAGCACGGCTGGGCGATCGAGGCGCGACCAGTCGCTCTGTCCGTGATGCGGGACGAGAGCGGTTCAATCTTCGCACGCGGACCTCGAGATGCCGTCCACGATGCAGGAAGCTAGAGGTATCATGGCCGAACATGATGCACAGCCAGTTGATGTGGACCGCGTTAGTACCTGCCTCACCGGCCGAGTACGACTGTATGGTGCGTGGTAGAAGGCATGTTACAACCAGGGTCGTCAGCCAGCGCCCTCAGCGTGATCGGTACCCTGCCTTGAGGCCGGCGGCGGTCGTTTGAGGGCCAGTTGACTCCCTCTTTACGCGACGCTCATCAGTTTCAAGAGCATGATGGGCTCACGGTCTGAAAATTACCTCGCAATACACGCCGCCGCCGCTATCGCCGTGTGCCGAGGTATCAGGTTTTTTTTGCAGGCATGAATCGAACATTCAAAGATGATGCCGCCACCAGGACGGTCGTCTTCGCATCCAAATGGGAGTCCAAGCCGTTGATGTGCATCGTATGACCTTCTTGGTCTTCCGTCGTGTCCTGTTCCCATCAAAAGGCTCGTGACGGTTGCATGGCGCAGCATCTGACTAATCTGCTCTTAGGGACGGTCCCAATCACACCGGGCATTTGCGTTCAAGTGACGTGAGTATGTACAACTTGAATGGTCGTTTCAGCGGTTGGGTGATTGGCTTGCTTTGTGAAGCAGGAGATGGGATTTGCTCTCCAACGAGAGTGTTCTTGCCTGTAACGGACAATAACGTGAGTTTTTCGTGACCGGTATGGGCGGGACCTGGGTCAGTACACGGCGGGTGGAGTCAGAGGCCAAGTCGCGGCTTTTTCGGGAGGTAGTTACCGTGCGTCCTTCGTGGGGGCTTGAAGGACTGGGAACGCAGTTTGCTGCATGTCGGAATGGAATTGGCATGTCGGAATTTGAGAGATAATAGATATAACTAGTGTAGAGCGGGCGGTGCGGACGAGATACTACTATGCGCTGGTACTGTGAAACTCTTATTTTAACCCTTTTTATTTCGCTATGATTCCTTTCTCTTCATCCACTGTGCTAGATCAAGACATACTTAAAAATGAATGTACTCCCTGACTCTATCAGCTTCCGACGCGGGGAAAATGGACGAGAGGACGGGGAGACGTAGGTGAGAAGAGGCCCGCAGGTGATGATTACGTGTCGTGAATTCGATCTCCTGCAGAGGACCAAACACACCGAGATGAATCATCTGAACATATCGGGAACGAAGTCTGTCATCGAGGACGCGGCCCCACTCTTCTGTTTCTTCTGTTACTCCACATTTCCTTATATGTCTGGACTGTTACCATATTGAGCAGATTCTCATGCGATACCCTCCCCAATGTCCCCATCAATCAAAGACTCCGCTCTGTCTCTCACATGTATATAAAGGCATCCTCCCGCCTACGAATAGAGCAGTTTTCTCCCCGGACTTTACTCGCGCATTCAGATCAGCAATTCGGCTGATCACGCGCGACGTCTTCGGATTAATTCAAGCGAATAAGGTTCTTTTGCGCTCTCTTCCATACTTTATCATCGCTCGTCGTTCTCTAGGCAACGTACCCAGCGGCGTACCCTAGATGACCAGCTCGGTAACTACTCAACGACCCTTCGAACGTTGCGACTGCACGCTAGGGCTCTCCAGTCAGGCAGTAAACCCCTCCTCTGGCACGGTCACTGTAGCTTGGCCATCACCATGAGTTTGAGCTGTACAGGCATTGTGTAGCATGGAAGTTCAATGCTTTGCATTTGGTAACGACAGGGTGGGCCTTTAAGCTTTATTATTCGACTTTCTGCGCAGCCCCCGCTACCACCGATCGTACGATGCATAGCATCACGTGCAAAGACGCGCCTGTGGCGCATGTTGGTCGGCAAGTCGTGAAGAAAGGCGAATGCGCCTTCCAGGACCCTTGATGTCCCTGCCGACTGGGCGCAAACAGCAAACCTCTTTCCGACAGTTATCAAAAAATCACTCATCTTTTCCTATGTACGCGGCCATGCATCACAGACGGCCGTTGCCGGTCGCGCAGCACCGCCAGTGGGCACGCGGCAACGGAGTAATTCCCGTATAAGAATCTCACTTCCGTAGCGTCCCTCTCTCGTCGTCACCGGACATTCGTCTATAAATTGCCCGCGCTTGTGTGAGGCTGCCCAGCAAACCCCCACCATGGCTGGTCTCTTTGAGAGTTTCACGCGCGAAGTCGAGCAGGTGCTGGACAAGATTCCATCTGGTTTCTATCATGCAGAGCAGACAGTGGAAGGTGATTGGTGTTCTCATGGGGCATATGTTCACCGTCTCATTGCGTTTAGGACTCGTCGAACCGGATGGTGAGCTGATGCGGCGTCGAGCGGTAAGTCGCTGACGTGTGGGACAGAGCGGCACGACTCGCCCCAGGAGCAGGCCGAGGACAGGGTCCGCGCAGAGATCAATGCAAGCCATCGCTTCGACTCGTTCGCAGTCGAGCGTAACGACAACTTCGTCAAATGGTGCGCGTCTCTCGTTGGTCTCCGCAGTCTCCTGACCAATCGCACTGCCCGCGCACGCACAGGCACATCGATGGACACGACTACATGTACGCCGTCTCGGAGCTGCTCGACAGCGCGCGCGAGTCGATATTCATCCTCGTACGTGCCACGTTGTTCGCCTACCATGTCGTTCTCTCACTCTCACGCTCACGCCGTCGCCAACTCCCACAGGACTGGTGGCTCACCCCCGAACTCTACCTCCGGCGCCCCGCGGCGTACCACCAGGAATGGCGCCTCGACCGCCTCCTGAAGCGCAAGGCGGAGGAGGGCGTGCGCGTGTACGTTGTCGTGTACAAGGAGGTCGCCGAGACGATGTCCATGGACTCGGAGCATACCAAGGTATGTGCGCGTCTCGTGTTCGCGTGACGCGATGGAGTGTGATTTGGCGCGCCGCAGCACGCGCTCGAGGCGTTGCACCCGAACATCGCGTGTATGCGCCATCCCGACCACATCGGAAGTCGAGGTGCGTTGTTTGGACTCGCTTAATCGGCAACGCTCATGACGCGTGTTTTACAGACGACGTCGAGTTCTGGTCCCATCACGAGAAGGTACGCCGGCGCCCGACCAACCTACGTGCAATGCTGACGCGCTCACCCCCAGCTCGTCATCGTCGACAACCACCGCGCGGCGGTCGGCGGGCTCGACCTCTGCTTCGGGCGATGGGATATGCACGCGCACCCGCTCGCGGACGTGCACCCCTACGACTTCCGGCGGGTCATGTTCCCGGGCCAAGACTACAACAACGCGCGTATCCTCGACTTTCAGCACGTGCAGAACTATGTGAGCAATGGCCTCAGCGCCATCGAGACGGCGCGCATGCCCTGGCATGATGTGAGTGTTCCTTCGTCGAAGACGGACGAAGCGAGTGGGTGGGCGGGTGGGTGGCTGATGTTGCGTTGAACGTTGCGCAGGTGCATATGACGACCTGCGGGCCTGTTGTGCTGGATCTCGTGCAGCATTTTGTGGAGCGGTGGAATGAGATCAAGAAGCGCAAGGTACGCTGATCGGTATGCTTATCCGCGCAGAATTCGCTCACACGTGGCTGCCACAGTACTCTGATGTTAGGTGACATCTGCCAAACAAAATGACGCTTTTGGATACACTGCTCACGCTTCCTGTAGCCGCTATGAGTGGCTTGCCTTCCCTCATGATGTCGACGCCGCACCTGACGAGGTTGTTGCTCGTGCGTATCGCACTTCAAACTCATGTTCGCACCCAACTGAACGTCCTTTCGTAATCGGCACATAGAGCTTCCCCAGCGAGAGGCATGGGCGGAGGTGGGCCGCAACTTCACACAGCGCTACCAAGGCCCGTACAGTGAGCCGACAGGTGATGAACTCGATGACCCTGCGATCTACCCGCGTCCGCCCAACGGGACGTGCCATGTCCAGGCCGTCCGCAGCGTCTCGGATTGGAGCCATGGTGTGCTCACTGAAAAGAGCGTCCAGAATGCGTGTACGTGCCTCTCGTTTATAGGTCGGAACTTTTGTGATGCGAGCGCTTTTATTGGGATAGACTGCCAGATGATCCTGGAGGCTAATCACTTTATCTATATCGGTCAGTTTAATCGGTCCTGTGCGGCTTAGAGATGTCGTCTGATTTTTTTGCTGATATAGAGAATCAGTTCTTGTCTGTCATTTCCTTGGATTGATCATGTGCTATGGTGCTCACGTATTTTTGCCACATGCAGCATCTCGACCACTCAGCAGGAAGGGCCCGTCAAGAACCAGATCGCAGCTGCATTGGTTCAACGGATCTTGCGGGCTGCACGAAATGGCGAGAAGTTCAAGGTCAGTCGCCTTCTTGCCAGGGAATGGAGTCAATTTCGTGATTGCTCATTCTGCGCAGGTCGTCATCATCCTACCGGAGGTTCCGGCCTTTGCAGGACCAGGTAACGAACCCACGTTCTGGTCTACGGCGATGACGCGCATGCTCATGCAACGTTGCAGTGAAGGAGGAGACGTCTATCAAGATTATCATGGCTGCGCAGTATAGGACGATGAATCGTGGTGGTCATAGCATCTACGAAGAGATCCGTGCTGCTGGTTACGAACCGTGGGTACCATCTCTGACGCGAGCGTTCAGATGATGCTGAAAGAGACTTCAGCTCGGACTACATCCGGTTTTACAACCTTCGGGCGTATGACCGTATCAACGCTCCGTATGGTGAGACACGCCTTTCGTCCCCTTTGCACGCCACTGACGTGTCCATCTAGACTCGTACTTCAACCTCATTGAGGAGAACAGCGGAGTCAAGTTCCATCAGGCAATCGCAGCCGTCGCACGCCTGTGGGTCGGGGAGGGTGAGGAGAAGGACGCGCCCGCAGAGGTCTCCGTTGTCCTGCCCACGGGCGAACTCGACGAGGAGATGACCGTGTCGGGCTCGGGCAAGCCTAAGCTCAGGAGCGAGACGTACCCGCTCCCGCAGTCGTACGATGAGGCGCACGATTTACTGAGGCGGTGGAGGGATGCGGCTGTTGGCTTGCGCAGCGACGATGATGTTTCGGATAATGTGGTGCAGCACATGTTGACGGATAAGACGAGCTTGATGGATGAGCAGTGGCTTGGGACGGAGGAGGAGGAGAGGGCCGCTTTCATTTCTGAGCTAGTGTATATCCACGCAAAGCTGATGATCGTGGATGATCGGAGGGTTATCGTACGTGCTGGCGATGATTGTGGATTTGGTCGTTGGAGTGCTGACAATGTTTTGTAGATGGGTTCGGCTAACATCAACGATCGCAGTCAGAAGGTGGGTGATGTGTGGTTCTTCGTCTCCTGCAGGGTGCTTAGCTTTCCCTAGGGTGATGGTGACTCGGAGATCGCACTCGTTGTCGAGGACGGGGACATGATAGAGTCTGCGATGGACGGACAGCGATACATGGCCAGTCGATTTGCCGCGAGCCTGCGGCGCAAGCTGTACAGAGGTGAGATTATGCGTACTCCGATGTCAGCGTTTGCCACTCACGCTCACATCGCTCAGAACATCTGGGCCTTATTGTCCCGCACATCTGCGAGAACCATCAGGAAAAGGTTACCTCTTTCATGCGCCCTGCGCCGCACGCCAACGACGACGAGACGGATACGGACGAGGATGCCATCGTCAGGGACCCGTTGTCGGATATGACTGAGAGCCTGTGGAACGACACGGCGAAGAGTAACCGGGAGATTTTCAATGAGCTTTTCCGCACTGTGCCTAGCAATTCGGTGCGCTCGTGGGATACGTACTGGGTGTGTTGCCTTTCGTTTGGTCGGCTTGCGAAGGAGTGGATTTATGCTTATGTTCGTTTGCGCAGAAATACATACCGAAGGTCATGCCTGGACATGTCGTACCCGAGATGTCACTCGAGCATGTGAAGGAGCGTCTCTCTAGAGTGCGAGGCGCACTCGTTGAATGCCCCATGGTAAGTGCCTTTGGTCGTTGTTGCTGCTTGAGATGGACGCTGAGCTTGACTCGACGCTAGGACTTTTTGATTGATCAGCATGACTTTGTCGAAGGGATTGATTGGATGGGGCTGAATCCGACGTTGCCGATCTATATCTAGGTATCTTTCTCGGAAGTTAGGCAAACGGGGTTACTTGGAAGGACGAATGGATCTGGAAAGTGGAGTGTATGCTTTGCTCTATCATGCTCGAGTTGGATTTACCTCTGTAGGCGTAAAGCTAGCACATGTACGGAACGGAATGGATTGCCAGGACAAACTATACCAGTTCAGTAGGTTGCAACGTTATAAACATTGGAATGATTAACTCGGTTGGATGTGTGAATGGCTTGCTCGAGTTTCACGTCCGGGAAGATCACTCGATACTCATGGACAGCATCCGTCCAGAAGCTGTTATGCCCTGCCAATATGGTCTTCAATTCTAGTACATTGCGTATCTCCAAGCATCATGTGTAGATGTGGATGTCTGCGTTCTCTTCGCTCGATGTCCGCGATCACAAAAAGTGAGTGCATTGCATTATTTAGTCATCATCAAAATCGAGATTCATCGCTATATATTCCCAAGCTTTCATCATCTGCGTCAGTTGCTCGGAATAAGAAATTCGGCGTCGACGGTGGATTCCCCAGGAGTAAGCGCGAACGCTGACCCCCCTCCCTTCTGCTTTATCCTCCGATTCAGGGGGAGGTGGGGGGGACAGACATCGCCGGACGAGTACCTCCATTGCGTTCGCTGGATCGCCTTTGATTCTTTCAACTTTTCAAGGGTGCTCTTTCGTAACTTCTATGCGATGGTTCTCCGAATACGACATCTTGTCGTTGCTGTTGGTGCGCAGCCCTTTAGAAGCGATGAATAAATAGCACATGGATTACAAATCGTGCGAGCTCAGCAGATTCGGAGGGTGTTTCGCTGATAGCTGCTACGCCCTGGAATCACTCAGGTTTCGCTGCATAACGAAGGAAGTGGGTCCTTGCCATGGATACGGCTTTCGATACAATGTAGAAGTGTACAGTTTTCGTAGAAAAGTCAGTCATCCATTCTATGCTTCGTCGAAGGCCACGTTTACAAGCACGCTCGACTGCCATTCCGATCGCCTGCCGTAGTACTGCTCGTCGAACTTAGGTGGTCTGCTAAGGATTGGCATTTAAAACAACCTCGCGAGGCAAGCAAGTCCTGGACAGCTGTATATAAACATGTATGTCGAACCGATGTGGGGGTCTCGCTGATGGGATGCGACGTTCATCTGGTACGGCCCGGTGACGTCACTTGCCCCGATCGCAAGCATTCAAATATTCACGCTACCGCTTTGATTGAACAAGCAAAGATGAGATACATGTAGGTTTGCGTCCAGGTTGGAACACGATGGAATGTCCATCGGTAACTGGCAGTCCTCGAGCTGATTTAGACAATACAGGTTTAGGATCTGTGGGCGCTAATGACGTAATGCAACGCTAACTGCGGTAGTGAGCTGCTTTACGTCACGGCACCCCTGCTGCATGTATATAAACCGGCGAAAGTGCATTTTGATATCATCACAACTCCATGTGAACACCATACCATGCCCATCCGCATCGGCTTCGTAGGACTATCCGTGTCCTCTCCCACCTGGGCAGCGAGGATGCTCGCGCCACCCCTACTCACACCACCGCTCTCGTCAGCATACGCGCTCTCCGCCGTCTCGACTAGCTCCCCAACCTCTGCGGCAGCCAGCGCAGAGAAGTACTCCGAGCTCGCGCACAGAGCCGTCAAGGCGTACCACGGACCGACCACCGCGATCGCGGCCGATCCGGACCTGGACATGGTCGCTGTCTCTGTGAAACCGTCGTCCCACATGGCCGCGGTTCTGCCCGTGATCGAGGCGGGGAAGGACCTGTTTGTCGAGTGGCCGGCGGGCAGGAATTTGCACGAGACGTTTCAGATGGCCGAGGCGGCCGGACGGAAGGGTATCAGGACGATGGTCGGCTTGCAGGGAAGACAAAGCCCGACGTTCAATAAGGTACGAGAGGCGAGTCTCCGTTGCAAAACTTTCCTTTCTCACCAGCTCGTCAGGTCAAAACCGTCATCGACTCGGGAGAAATCGGACGAGTCCTCTCTACTTCCGTGGTATGCCCATGCACAGCGATGCCTTCAAATATGACGTCTTCACATCCTGTATGCAGATCGTGCGCGTCCCATGCGACCGTCCACTCTACACCTGGGGGCCCTACGTCTCCGAGAACGGCGCCTACTCCGCAGACGCCACTCAAGGCGCGACGCTCCTGGAGATCGTCGTCGGCCACTTCTTGAGCGTGTTCACGTACGTGCTCGGCCCCTTCACGTCCGTAAGCGCCACTCTTGCGGTCCAACATCCCACTGCGGAGCTCGTGGATGCTGAGGGTAAGCCGACGGGCAAGACGATCCCGCAGACGGCCGCAAACCAGGTTGCGTTCTCTGGGACGCTGGCGAGCGGCGCCGTCGCGAGCTTGCATTGGCGCGGAGGACTGGAGGGGAAGCCTGGGCGAGCGGGCACCCCGTTCATGTGGGTTATCGATGGAGAGCGCGGGTCGGTACGGCTGGACAGCGATGACCCTGCCGGGTGCTACGTGCAGGTCAGGGAACCAACGTTGTACTTGAATGGAGAAGAAGTCAAGGTGGAGCAGGACGGTTTGACGAACTTGACGAGGGCGTGGGCTGAGTTTGCCAAAGGCCAGGGCGGGAGTTATGCCACGCTTGACGACGCTTTGAAAATCAAGGTGTTGCTCGATAATATCGGTGAGAGCTCGAGAGAGGGCGTGAGGATTGAGTTTTGAAAATGTAATGTTGGCGGATATCAGGAAGACAATGTGGTCGACGTCTGAATGTTGAACCCTTGAGATCGCCATGCGTGTACAATAAGACGTACGCTCCGAGCTCGAGCTTCCGGCACGAAGCTACTTACGTGGGCTCACGCAACCGACCAAGGCTAAGCCAGCAAGCTAGATGGCCATGCCCTGAGTTCCCCGGCCTCCGCGGCCCATGTACCATGCGAACTGTGAGACGCTGCGATGGTCATGACCACCAAGTTTACTTCCCGGATTGAGTGATGAGCTGAAAGGCGTGCTCCAGCAGTAGAACCGTTTGCTGCTTCTGTTAGAAGTCCACGGGATGGTATGTCAGAATTGTCCTCGGGATCGGCGGAGGAAGTAAGCTGAGCGTCGCGTTCCAAGACAGGCTCGTCGATCGCACAGGGCAAGACTTCCGCCTGCGCTGAGCCGATGAAAAAGTCCGTGATCAGTGTCTCCTCCAGAGGACCATTGAAGAGGTCTGAGCGCACCCCCGCGTGTGACTCCGAGTCGAGAGTAGAACTCTGAGAACATGCTATCGGCCTGACAGGTGTCGATCCGATCATGAATAATATTTCGTTGTAGCTGAGAACAAGCGGCGTTTCGTCAGCCTTGGGACTCGACACGGCTACGACGGGAGTACCACTTGTTTTGTCACCTCTGTTCGAAGGCATCAGCGATGTCGAATGGATTGATGTCGTCATTGTCTTGGGAGTTGAGAATTCAATATTGGTTGCTTCCGTGCCCGGTCATATAAACTTTAAACGAAGATATTGGATCGGTCGTCGGCGAATAGGCGCTTCGAACGGGGTATACAGAGGACTCCATGTGAGATATACAGAGCACATTCTAAGGTTTCATTGAGTCCTGGGCAGCATTTAAAGACTGCAGCGACGTACCGTCAACACCCTCAGGAAATTCTCGACCCTACAGTCCACCTCGATATTCTCTCCACACAAATCGAGATACCACTGGCAGCCCGGCTCGCATACACGCAGCCGAGGAGCTTGTTTCGCGTTTGACGTGCCGCGTCGTTGCGAGCATCAAGATGTTGTTCGAATCTGGGATCCCCAGCCGACTTCACGGTGCAGTACTTGCACGTCAAGTGTCGTCACCCAGTCGCATCCTAACGATGTATGTGGCTGTCTGCGTACACCCCTAACGCATTTGCCATGTACTGCCGATGCTGTGAGATCTTGCTGGCGTTTGGCACTCCCAGCCAGGGAACGCACCCGAGAGTCGAACCATTATCGTGAGCAGGATACCAGAGATACCCGATTGTTTGCGTAGGCCGATCCACTGTCTTGTGCAGGTTACGGTGCATGCTCACTTGGGATAAGCCCGTCCGCTGTGGTCTCCCTGAGGCAGCTGATACACAAGGTTGCGAGCAGAAGGAGACGAACATGCAGACATTAGGCATATCGCGCGACAGTATGTGCAAGGTTGACCGCAGCGCCACACCACAAACCTCCTACTAGACGCCCATCGACGTTACAACTTAAAGACTCTTTAAGTCTCGGAGCAGCTGGCTGTATATCTCTTGTTATACCCTCCCTCGGGCCTCAAAAAAGGAGGTTTTACAGGTCTTCCTCGGGGAGACAAAGCAGTTAGTGTCCATCTCCTGATTTTTACATAAGGATCTATATTTCAAGCCCTTTTTACGGCTGGCATTTCAATCACACTGCAGTGCGTTTCTGATGTCTCTGTGAGAGATCATCTACTCGGTTCTCGACTTTCATTTGGAACTCTCGTTCTCCAGTCGCCGTGGAGAAATTGCCCGGCCGGTGTATTCAATTTGTCGACTGCTGTTTGCCTTCCAAACCATAGAATTTCGACTCTGATCTTGAAGCTCACCCTTTTGTTCTCTGTCTCCCTTCGCCTACATTGTATGGTGCTGAATATGTTCCAGACATGACGGGCTTGCAGACGAGCGCAGCTAAATGCGTGACGAAGAGGGCTTATCTTTGCGTGCATACTGCATGTCTCTGTGTTTCATCGGTACGCACTCGCAGCCTATCGTCTCAGACTTGGCACTAACAACAATCATAGCCCCTACACTCCCACTGAATCCCTTGATCGCGAGCACTGCTGCAGCTGGCTTGCTGCGCGAGTACAAGCCCAGACTTGAGTGCCTCTCACGATGTACATGTCAATGTCAGCGCGCATTTCTGTCCCGGGGATCCGGTGTCTATGGGCGCTCTCCCCTCTTCGCCGCTTTGCTGGTCCCTTGGCCCATCGTCCGAGCGCACAGGTTTCTATGCAGCATGGTGGCTGTTCCAGTAGCTGGTTGTCTGGACGCCTAGTTGTTTGTCCCCCCGTTTACGAGCCGCACGCTGAGTTTCACTTCATACACACGTTTCACCCTGCGCGTCACTGCCGTGGCAGCTATGCGGCGCCATCTCTCCAAACGCCATCTCTCCAAACTACACAGCATAGTCATTACGTACGTAGCAGCATCAGTGTTCTAGAACCTCTATATTACCGATCTGTGCGCTTACTAGAGGATGAGAATCCATCCCCCCGCACGCTCTTGCGCCAGCCTGTATGCGCGGTCATATCGTCGCTTCAGTTGGAGATCTGTAGGAACTTCTGGCAATGTCGGTGAAGCGGGCGGGCTGTGAGGGGATGATTGTCACGTCAGCCAGAAACAGATCACGAAGTCGGTTCCTTTTCCATGATTCAGATCATGATGGAATATGGGCTTATAAACAGGCCGCCTGTCAACCACTTCATAATCCTCAATCCGGTCTCTCGACTTAGACATGGCCATCAGCACACCTGGAGCAATCACTCTATTGGAACAGTCGTGAGTCTCTTCACACAGTTTAGACGTACTGCATTGAAGGATATACTATCAGTATTACAGGAAACTATGCTGTTATCGCTGGTGCAGGTCAGTCAAGTCCTTCCCCCTAATTACCGATTGATCGTTGACGAATTTAATTCAAACAGCACTCATATTCTTCGACCATGTCATTACATTTGGTCAGGAGGTCCAGCTTTTCTGGGGCGAGCAAACATCTTCTGCATGGTTGTTCTTTGCCAATCGGATACTTGCACTGGTCTATGCTAGCCTTTCTGTTTGGTCCGTCATGAATATCTATACAGTAACGGTACGCTGTTGCAAATCACATTGGTTTAATACATCTTCGATTTATTGATATTGTAGAGGTGACTTGTCCCTAGTTGCTCTATTTGTCCGTGTCTGACTGTTATTACCTCGTAGTTGTACGGCAAACATCGTAGCGAGCGATTTAGTTTCCACATTCATTGTGGTAATCTCAAATGGTAGGCTGGCATGCTTCACGACAACTCATCGCAGCTCAAATATAGCAAAGTGGTTACGATATTACGAGTATACGCCGTGACAGGTGGCGACCGACGACCTCTTGTGCTCCTTGCGTTGCCAATGGTCCTCTACGTGGTCATAGATGTCTACATCGGTACGCTTCCTCCTGTTCGGGACATATTCTTGATTGACTGACGGCAAATGGGTGAGAAGAATTCGCCCAATTATCATATTCTGTGATCATATTGAATAGAACAGCCATATGCTACGCATTCTTTACTTCAGGTTCAGCGCAAGATATCGCTAAAAAGTGTGTAAGCCAGTATCATTAATAAATCTATCCTTGCTAACATGTTTCTCAATAGATGTGAGTTTGAACTGAAGAATACTTTCCTCCACACTTCTTTGACAAGCCCGCTGCAGTGAAAATTGCCATTGCAGTCTGTGCCATGGCTGCCGGCATCGTGGCGCTCGCAATTCTCTGGCGCAAGTTAAATGTTGGCCGTAGACTGGCCACCGCTAATCTTCGGTCCATGAGGAATCCGCCACTTGCAGCGCTATTGCTCAGAGACGGTATGGCTGTCGGACAGTGCCTATGGATGCTCGGGCTGAAACAGCATTTGTACCCACCATTCTCATAGGCACGATCGAACTGACGTGAGAAGTGAAATTGGATAAAATTTGACGATGTCTCAAGCATGACATCTAGAGCATTACTACTACTGATCATATTGTCATTCATGAACTCCGTAAGTGCATGCTTTCTCCGTTCGCACCATGTCTTCTGCAAGATGCTAATCACTCTGCCGAACATGACTGTGGATATGGCAGAGCGCTGCAGATGTTATCGCAAATTTGGAATTCGCGTGAAGCAATCCTCTTACATTTTCTCTTCCAGTGCCACGCTGACGATTTTCACAGACTGTATCCCGTTCTGACCTCTCGCGTCCTCCTCAACACCCGAGCCGCAGTGCGACCTGCGCGCGGAGAACAGTCCCAAACATCCTCTTTCGTCCGGTCGCGGCGTGGAATCCAGACACAAGCCGACGTCGAAAACATGTCATTCGAATTAAATGTCCTCAACAGCGCCGAACAAGCGCTGGAGAGCGATCGCTCTAACCCGCAAGAGTCTATTGAACGTGATCAAATTGTTGTCGAACCGCGAAGCATGGCAAACAATGTTGTTACTGCCGGCGATGCTCAACAGGACGTGGTCGAAGAAGAGGCCAGGATGGACGATGTCGAGGAAGAGATGCTCTCGGACTGGGAGAATGACGTATGAGCGGAGAGAGAGCTCTGTCATCAGATTGAACTTTTGCTTGCTGTTGCTGAGTGGCACGTCAGCCTTCGTACGCTCCGTCTCATCTGGCTGCGTCTCGCAGATCTTCTATGCAGAAATCCTTGTGCATTTTTTTCTCTTTGTTCCGTACGATACGGCCGTTGGCATTTCAAGGTTCGTCACAGGGCTTCACAGCCAATCTCAGCAGATAAAGTCGCACTATAGATCTCGTGTAATATTGTTCTTTTTTCACCCGTGTTGCTTGTGTCTGTCAATGAGCCTATGTTGTGCCGATCATTCGCCAGTCAAGTTTCAATACAGACGCCGGCATGTAGAAAGAAAGTCTGACGATGACGGTTTCAGCGACATTTCCTGCCGACATAAGCTCATTCGCCACCGCTCTACTAAATTGCGCTTAACTACATTTTTTACACATTCACAATGGAAACAAATGCCCGCGGTGCCAACGCCGACCATCCTCAATGGTCGATATAAAAAGAACCGTCGTGCTGCACAACGATAAAGCGTTTGTGTGGAGGCCAAACGGGTGAAGCCCGGAAAGCCGCCTCGACATCCAAAGTAGCAGTCTGTGCTCCGTCGGGTGCAGCAGCGACCTAAAAAAACGCGTGGCACAGATGGTAAGTTACGAAGCGTGAGGATGGAAGGACATAAATGCCAAATAAACATGAGAGAGAGTGAGGATAAGTCCCATAGGATAGGCGGATATTATCTCCGAGAGAGTGGGGAAGAGCCCCATAGAGCAAAGGAGATGACCTCCATAAGGATGGGGAGGGGCTCCATAGAGTGCTGGAGACAACCTCCGTGAGAATGCGGATGAGTCGGAGGCAACAGCTGGAAATGAACCCCAGCATATGGGACAGTGCCGCAGGAGAGGAAAAAAAACACTTAGGAGATGGGACGCACATAAAGTCTAAACTGGAAGCGAAACGAAGGACTCACAACTTCGACTATCATACCGGCGGTGCCCCAGCGGGTCAAGAAATCATTAGAGTTTATTTGATCGTTCACGGAAACACCATGGCCAGGGGAGATGAGCGAAAAACACGAACTAAGCAGACGTTCGACCACGACACGAGGACAGGGCCCAAAAAGACTCCCGGCATCGAGCTCTTCCTGGATATATGCATTGATGGCGGCAGGGTGCAGCGGAGCAGAATTATGATTCTCTAGCATGAAAGTGCAAGAAAGGGGAGTAAAGTCGCTGAAAGGGGAGCCAGCACGGATGATTTGAGGCAGAGAAGAGGCAGTGATGATGGAGAAGGCATTCGAAGGCATCGGCCACATATGCGATCACGTACGCACACACTTTGCAGAGCCAGCATGATGGTCCTGGGAGCCGCAGAGAGAGCAGGAATGGGGCCGTCCCCTGGGACAACGTTTCGCAGCGCACTTGCCAGAGAGATTCCAAATGACGCAAAGTCCTTGGCGGGTAGCGTCGACAAGGAGGTGTCGGTCGACAAACACACACATGGTCGGACGGCCGTCCCGGATGGATGTATGCATGCAGTTAGCGGCGTGGTGCCCAGTCCTCGCACAGATGAGGCAGGTCGGCGTGGAGGATGTGGCCCGCCTGCCAACCTGAAAGGGCCGGGGACGATCCTCACTCATGCGAACATGGCTGTCACCCCGACCACCACGGGGATATGGCGTGAAGCGGCGTGAGGAGTCATGGCGGGACTGTAAGTCAGTTCTGAGATTCTCTGACAGAATCTCCAGGCTGATGGAATGGAAGCGGATGTCGTACATGGGGTCTTTAGGGAAGAAACCTGGTGGGTCGTTCATATATGCGCGGCGCACCTCACAATCGAATTGAAGAATGGCCTTGTAATCCTTCACAAAGTCGCGCAGAGCAAGGAGATAGTCCAAATGGGTGCGGAAACGTTCCGCCACCTCATCGCCGATCTTCGTATAGACCTTGAGCATATTGTGCCAAGCCTGACCGAACAACTCCGGTGGGAGAGAAGCCTCGTCCGGCCACGCGCTGACGTCCAGCAAGTACATTCGCTGACCATCGGCAGTAACGACCTTCTTCGTCTTGATGGCGGTGGGGTCGTGATGCATCTTCCTTATGGCATCAGTTGTGGTCAAGGTAAGCGGGATGTGTACGCGGGCTGCAGCGAGCATGAGGATGGCCGGGGGCACTTTGAGGCTGTATACCTGGAAAAGATCTGAAGAGCGTTCGTTTTCGTTCGCGGAGGTAAACAGCTTTCGCGTGGTAACAGCCGTGGTTGCGGGTGTGCCACCAAGCTCTTGGGTGGATGTATGCGCACGGGTAACCAGCGGTCCGAGCGTCTTGATAAGGATGTCTCGGTCAGCCGGAGAGAGCGCCTGCAGGATTCCAGCCAACTGCAGCACCTTTGACCGGGCAGGGAATACAGTATCGGAAGCCACAAAGCTGGCATCGTCAATTCCAGGCAGTTCAGCATCGTCGTCGTCCGACGAGTCCTCATCCTCAGTTTCCTCCCCGCATGCACGACGGTCCACCCTGCATGCCGTGCGCTTTCCAGTCGCGATCATGTCCGCTGGAGCTCCGAGTAAGAACATAGACCCGCGGTTGCCTTTGCGTCCTCCCCCAGCCTCGCCGGGGGCACTTGACCTACTTGCTAACTCCAGACTTTCTGCAGATTTGCCTCCGGCACTAGCGGGACGTCGACGGTCAGCCATTCCAGCTATAGATCTTTATGACGAGGAAGCTAGACACACAGAGGACTGAGCAAAAATCTGGACGAGCAACGAGAGGTGAAGAGGTAAGATACTATCTGATACTATACTGATACGCGTCGCGTCGCGTCAGGTCGCGTCCCTTCTTGCGTCTGCTTAGTAAGCAAACGTTCTTCCTACTCAGGCTGTTGTTCCTCGCGCTAGGTACGAACTCGACACAGATCATACAGCGCGAGCAAAGTATACGTGTTTGAAACAGTTTTGGACCCAACGTTATTAGTGAGATTCAAACTCGTTAATTCGGCGATCCTTCCAGACATGTAAAATAATGAAAATAAGCAGTACGAGGAGGGATATACAACAATTACAGGAATAAGAGAGACATATAGCATCTGCTACTTAGGCCAATACTCGTACAAATGATTGAGATTACTGGACAGGGATCTTAATGACGAACAGACCATGCAGACGGAACACAAGAGTGGAGGCAGAGAGAAAAAGGGTCCGCAAGAGTTGGTATACATCTCTCACCGGAAGTCCCGCATGAGCGCTGCCACAGGGAACTGCTGCCGGTGCTGTACACGGCTGCGCGCCATATGCGCCTTGCGCTCACCCGCAAGCTTGTTGATTGCGTTGATGAGATCACTGCGCCGTAAAGGCTTGGTAATATGGTCATCCTGAACGACCGCATACACTCATTAGTAGTTGTATAGAAGGGAACGCCCGTTCGGCTTACCATTCCAGCCTGCAAGCACCTCTCTCTGTCACCGATCACTGCAACGAACGTCTTAGCACTGGCGATGGAGGACAGTAACGCTGATTTGATACTCACTTGCATGAGCAGTTAACGCGATGATCGGGACGGGATCAAGGCCGTGTGACGTCTCGTACGCACGAATAAGCTCGGTGGCCTCCATACCACCCATGAATGGCATCGACACGTCCATCTTCCATCATAACTTCTTAGCATCACATCACGCACACGAAAGACGCAACGTACGAGAATAACATCGAACGGCCTGTTCCGCTGGATCCTCGCCTTGAAGGCGTCCACCGCCAACGACCCGTTCTCCGCAATCTCCACCTGGTGGCCATACTTCTCAAGAATCTTCACGGCAAGCTTCTGGTTGACAAGGTTATCTTCCGCGATGAGGATATCGTATGGTACGTCGTTCTCAGCTACCACAGGCGTCACCGTGTTCGACTCTAACGCCGAGATGAGCGCCGATGCCAGGTCTTGCGCCGTGACAGGTGTTGTGACCTGTGACGAGATGCTGTTATCCAGACACCATTTTACTGTAGGGCGATAGGTCAGCCATGTCCAATCGAACAATGAGACACAACGTACAGTTGAGGCGAGGAGTAGATTGCTGCGAAAAGACGATATTCGGTCAACATACTCAACGCATCTGATAGACATTCGTGACGTACCGGTGTCAATAGCACGATTGGTATATAACGCAAATGCTCATATTCGCGCAGGTTTTCTGTCTAAAACGACAAAGAGAGAACAGTTAGCAGAAGTCTACCGTGCGAAAACCTTGGATACATACCACATTGAGCGAATCCACGACAATGGTATCGATATGCGGGCAGGTCGCCTTGTCTGCCACCTCAGACACATCGTGCACAACATACGGGCGTAAACCGAGCTCCAGGATCCGCTGCACCACACCCGTCCGGTCGTAAAGCGTGTCGACGAACAAAATATTCCGCTTTTGGAACGGCTGCATCTTGCTGAGCGTCGCTTCCATCGACATCGGGCTTATTTGTGACGTAATGGTGAAGAAGAACTTGGACCCGTTGCTGACCTCCGACTCGACCCACATGTTGCCCTGCATGAGCGTTACGAGTCGTTTCGAGATGGATAACCCAAGACCAGTACCCCCGTATTCCTGTCATGGCGTCAGCCGGTAGCCGACAAAAGGCGCAAAAGTCACCCACTCGAGTCGTAGACCCATCCGCTTGACAGAACGTATCGAAGATCATCGTCAACTTATCCTTCGCGATACCGATACCCGTGTCAGACACGCAGAACTCCAGCGTCACGCTCTGGTCATCCAAAGCCAGTAACCTGCAGCTGAGCGCGACATGGCCCTTGCGGGAGACCTTTGACGGCGTGAACTTGATTGCGTTCCCGACGAGGTTCGTGATAACTTGGCGCAACCGGAGGGAGTCACCAATGAGCTGATCAGGAATCTCCGGATCGACATCGTACGTGAGGTCGAGCTGGTTCTGCGACGCGCGCACGACTAAGGTCTTGAGTATCCCAAACACCGTTTGGCGGAGCGAGTAGGACACCTGCTCCATCGTCATCCGACCGGCCTCGACTGCAAGGGGCATCAGTAACAGACGAACTACATGAGAAAGGAAGACCTACTCTTCGAGATATCCAAAATATCATCAATAATCAATAATAACGACCTGGCCAAGCTGTGCACTAAGAGCAAGCTCTCACGCTGCGACCGGTTCAGGTCGCTGTCTAACGTAAGTTCCGTCATACCGATGATTCCGTTCATCGGTGTCCTGCACAGGCACATCAGTTCATCCGCCCCGCATACGTCCCACACAGGCACGAACCTAATCTCATGGGACATATTCGCCAAGAACTCCGATTTACTCCTGTTGGCCAATTCGGCCGCCTCCCTCGCAGCGGTGTTCTTCTGGATACTGTCGCGCAAGTTGAACACCATTTGATTGATCTGCGTCTTCAACGAGTCCATTTCTCCGCTGGCTTCCACGGTGATGAACCGACTGAAGTCGCCGTCCATAGCCGCCGCAGAGATCTGCGCGAAACCTCGCACTTGCGTCGTCAAGTTGCTTGCCATGGTGTTCACGGACATCCTGAACACGCATTAGCATCCGCGATCATGAAGCATCAGCATGGAAAGTCATACGTGATGTCCTGCCAGATACCCTCAACGTTGCCGACCTCGGCCTGCCCACCAAGCTTACCCTCAGTCCCGACTTCTCTTGCGACCTTTTTCACCTCGGCAGCGAAGATCGCCAACTGGTCAATCATGGAGTTGATGGTGTTCACTAAGTCGAGCATTTCTCCAGATACCGAGACACCGATGACCTTTCGCGTCAAGTCACCGCGGGCGACAGCTCTCTATAGTCCAGATCAGCGAGATCGCCCTTGCACGAATAGCTATCAGATGTACCGTAGCCACAGCAATAGTCCGCACTTGTAACGTCAACTAGATGACAAGCGATCAGTAGCCGTTTCTTCCCGGGCGTAGTGGCCGACTCACGTTCGCAGCCATGACGTTGACATTGTCCGTCAAGTCCTGTTGAGCAGCGATGTTCAACATCTGCAGTAAAAGGCTTTCAAAGCGAAACAAACCTTCCAGGTACCTCCAACATTCGTCACACGAGCTTGACCGCCCAACTTGCCCTCGGTTCCGACCTCTTTAGCGACCCGAGTGACCTCATCCGCGAACACGCTCAAACTTTCCGTCATGCCGTTCACCGTCTTCTTCAAGTCAAGCATCTCTCCGCGCACGTCGACCGTGATGCGCTTCGTCAAGTCTCCGCCCGCGACGGCTTTCGTAACCTCTGCAATCGACCGCACCTGGTTGGTCAAATTCATTGCCATCAGGTTGACGTTATCCGACAAGACCTGTCACCGAAGCGAGCGCCATCAATGACGCCATCACAGCGTGTGAGCAAGAAACGGGACACTACCTTCCACATGCCCTGAACGTCCGGAACGTACGCTTGGCCACCCATGATACCCTCAGTGCCGACTTCCAGCGACACTCGCGTGACTTCGCTCGCCAATACGGATAGCCGGGCCACCATCTGGTTCACAGTAGTCTTCAAGTCGAGCATTTCACCCTGGACGTCGACGTTGACCGTCCGGCTCAGGTCACCGTTGGCGACAGCCTTAGTGACTTCCGAGATCGACCGCACCTGATCCGTCAAATTGGTAGCCATTTTCTGCGAACGGGCCAATTAGACATATGTGCGGACGCGATAGTCAATCGGGCAGAAAAAGTGAAAGATACTTACGTTGACGTTGCGCGTCAAGTCGGCCCAGGTGCCCTGGACTCCTTCGACCTTCGCCTGACCGCCCAAGATACCCTGCGTACCGACCTCCAAAGCGACTCGAGTGACCTCAGATGCGAACGCGCTCAACTGGTCCACCATGGAGTTCACAGTGCACTTCAACGTCAGCATCTCACCCTCGACCTCAATCTCGATCTTCTGCGTCAAATCACCCTTGGCGACGGCCGTAGTGACCTTCGCTATCGACCGCACTTGATCTGTCAAACTCGAGCACATGCGATTGACCTAGATTAGCGAGCCAATCAGCATCGGCGTTTTGTAAGATGACAGGCGGTTTTTGCAGATCAGTGCCACTTACGTTCCGAGTCAACTCCAGCCATACTCCCTCGACGTCCGGCACGTGAACTTGACCCCCCAATTTACCCTTAGAACCGACTTCCAATGTTACCCGAGTGACCTCAGCCGCTAAAGTCCGCAAGCGAACCACCATGCCGTTGACCGTGTTCTTCAATTCGAGAATTTCACCGCGCGCATCGACCTCGATCTGCTTCGACAAGTCGCCCAGTGCGACGGCTTTGGTGACCTTAGCGATAGACCGGACCTGGTTTGTCAAATTGGCCGCCAACTTGTTGACGACGCCCGTCAACTCGCGCCATGTGCCTTCGACATCTAACACGAGTGCCTGACCGCCCAATTTGCTGCGGGGGCATATATGAGCATGTTCGTCGTGCAGCAGCCATAATTAGTAATACGCACCCTTCTGTGCCGACTTCCTGACTGACACGAGTAACCTCCTTTGCGAATTGACCCAATTTGTCCACCTGGAGGAAACGAGCAGATCGGCATCATACTGCGAGGCACTGAGAGAGGAGTGACGCACCATTGCGTTGATGACCTCCTTGAGTTGAACCATGACCACACCCTGTACAGGCACCGTAATCTTCTGAGACAAGTCGCCGCGAGCGACTGCATTGCAGACACGCGCAACATCCTGGACCTGTGCCTTTAAAAGCTTGAGCTCCTCGACGGCGCTCATGCCACTCTCAAAGGCAGCGGCCGCCAAGGGGCCGGGAGGGACGACGAGGGGGGAGACGATCGATTCACCGGTGTATGCGTTGACCTTTGCGATGGTAGCACTGTCTGTGATGATCTTGCCGCAGCTGGGGCATGAGACGTGGTCGGCGTGAGATGTGGCCGGCGCTGAGACCGAACCGGTCGAATTAGCTCTGAAGAGCTTCGGGTTTTCCATGGGATTGACGATACCTTCAAGGGAAATCGTCATGGGGGAAGGAGTACGTCTTGAGCCACTGCGTGCGGCGGCAGGTCGGGGGACAGAGGGGGTGGGCTCACCCTCAGAGTTAAGACTATCGAACATCTCCACGTCCGTGCTGCTCATGGTGCTGGAAATGCTTTCGACCGAGCTTGTGGGAGTGGCGACGAAAAACGGTGAAGAAGAGGTGGCGGTCTGGCTGATGGCGCTGCCGGCCTCGGCCGCATCGCTACGCGAGCTGGAAGAGCTGCTGCTGCTGATAGGAGGGCTGTCGCCGACGCTGCGTCGTTTCTTTGACTCTGGGCCGCAGCTCTCGGACGCCTTGATGGATGCGAGGGCCTCCTCGGCGGTATACATGCGACGGGCCATGGCACCGAGGGAGCGGAGGATGCTGTCGGTCTGCCAGTCGGAGGGACCATCGTATCTGGGTATCGGGGAGGATAGTGGGCCGAGCTCGTAGATGGACAAGAGAGCGACCAAATGTTGGAGGAAAGGATGCGCGATGTGCGCGCGATAATCGACGATGGGAGGCATCGCCGCCATCGCTGTTGAGGATGGAGGAAAAGAGGACGGCGAGTCGGGGAATGCAGACGACAGGAGGGACCTGGCTAATATCGGATCGCGAAGCTGCAACAACTCAGACAGCACGCGTTGTCGGCCTTTCACGCAGCATATTTTCACCCCACTTTCCGCTCGCTTAACAAAACACAGCCACACTGCCCCCATATTCCACCTCCCAGCTTCCCTACGAGCAACGCCAACACAATGCCTCGCATCGACCGCCACGTCTGTGCACAACACTGGCGACGCATGCGCTGTGCGGGATAAGCTATCCACCGTCGAAATCCGCTTTTCCAACGGACAACACCATAAAGGGAAGATCTTGGGCGCTCTACCAAGGACCCTGAACACCATGGTCGGACCTGCGCCGAAAGCCGAGCTACGACTTGCAACGTTTGGCCCTTCCAAGTCGGTCGTGCTCCAAGCTCTAACTTAGCAGCGTGGTCAAAAGAATCTCAGAGTGGATTACGATTGCCAGCACGCATCTCGACTAGAAATAGGCAAGGCTCCGTCATCTCCGCGGACTGCGTCGTCAAGAAAAGACATTGGACCGCCCCCAATGTGATGAAGGCTTTCATAGTCGCCACCAATCTCAAAGACGTGCTAGTGGAGAAGGTGGCAATCTGTGTCAAGCAGGAATTGAAGACGCTTGGTTGAGATCGCGGAGTGGGAAATCGACTCATCAAGTGGGGAGAAAATGTGGTTCGTAACTCGCTGAGATCGGTAGGCACATTCCTTCAACTACTGTCTTCATGGCATCCGGAGAACCGACTTGCTGATATGTAACGCCGCGGTTGGGGATCGTCGCGAACTTGCCAGAGAGCCTGCGAGCAAGATGCGGTCATGGCGCCCTGACGGAACGTACACTCGTCATGGAAGCTACTCTGGTCCTGAGGCCTGAGGCCCGAAGTACATGAACCAGGCCTACTGCGCGTATACAGAAATACGGTGGTATGATCTTGAACCTGCCATGTACTCGCTGCCTATAGCGAACTGAAAGGCAGCTTTGGCAAAAGACAACAGCAGTAATCAGCACGGCTAGCAATAATTATCGCTATTCCGTGAGTCTCGACTTTCCATTAGTCAAAAGATCGACAGAACCTCTTCCATGGCCTTAAAGCAGCATCTCAGCTTCTCCTCAAAGCAACAGCATCCGCCGTCGGGACGGACATTGAAGCTCCACTTGTGTCGAAACTAGCCGACGCCAGTGCTTTACGCTGAGGAGCTCCTCTCTTGCGAGCGTAACCTTCAGCGGTTTCCCTGAGTTTCCTAGAACGGCCGCTGAGAACGTCATCTGCTAGCTATTGTGAAGCGAGATTATTGTGTGCTACCGGCACATCGCTAACAGTTCGATCTGTTCACGATGGTCGGCTTATTACGCAGTGTTGGGCCGCTGCGGCGAGGCTATTAATTCATTGTTTCAATCCAAATTTCGCTAATGATTTGGTTCACCTTTATGAACATCGAAGTACGAGAGCTAATCATGAGTGAACATCCCTTGAGACCTGAAAACTGGAAAGCGCTTGAAGTGGCATGTGCTCAGAAGGATGCCGCCGTCAGCGAAGTGACCGGGGTCGTCTGATGGCCGATGTAGAAAAACGACGACCGGGCACTCAATTGGTATTTTATAAATTCCGCACATCCTGTATGCTCCGCCCAGTCTCCGTTGCCAATACCCACCTGCTACGAATAATCTCTCTCGAAGGGTATCATTCGCTGCCCTTAATACGTCATCATTTACATGTGTCTTCACCGGAACCTCGCATAGAGACGGAAAATCTAATGTGCTTCAGAGTTCAGAGGTACGTCCACATGGTTGCGTAAAGAACATTCCTCCGGTCATTGTGCGGTGTGGCCGTCTGACAGTCCTGTCATATTCTCTCGTAACGAACTCATTGTTGACTCTTTCGAGGCTGCGCAGCACACGTACTGGACTGATTCTCACAGGAACTCTCACGCACGGAGTCATCTCACGGCACCATCTAGCTAGTCATTTACCGTTTACGCTGAACCCACCATCAAATATGGGAGAAGGCATGTGGTGCAACCTTTCCGAGGGCACGCTTCCAAAGCGTCAGCCGACACCGTCAGCAAACTTTAAAGTTTGTCGCATACTTACTAGATATCCCGTGTCATAGATACGCCGGACGTTCAATTCATCCTTCGGTTACGCGCCATCTGCCTGGGATCACTTACCGAGCGAATCAAGTTGACGACATCGACAATACATCTTAAGGGCCAAAGACAATTAATCGGTCGGCAAACTCGCAATCATCCCTGGCCAACCTGCATTCCAAGAGCTGGCAGGTGCACCGTGTGGATGTTCGTGCACGCTGACACGCTCTGCAACTCCGACTTGTATTGGCTGCAGTGTGTTCCAGTTCTAGAGCACCGTCGGCCTGCACCTGCTCATCCCCGATCGCGAGCGTGTCATACTACAGAAGCCGCATCAAATGACAACATGAGTCTCTCGCGCCCAAATCTCATGTCTGTCGTTCACCGCGTTTCTCTCATTTGAACTCCCGGTCCACTCAATTGTCGTCCTTTCAGGGCCGCACGCGCCGTCGTCGCTGCTATTCGCAGATCGCAGTGTCCGAGGTCACGCCTGATGCGTTCCCATGCCTCTCTGAACAACTCCGCACTCAGCCTATACCACCAATGTTGGCTGCGTTATCGCGAAGCCGCCCGCTGTGATCCGACGCCTCTATCGATTGTTGTCCACGCGACTACGAGGTAGAGCGAGCATGCTGATGCTAGCGTTCATGACCTCAGCGCTCTGTGAACGAAACGATGGTGATATGAACAGGCCTGGCATCAGAAAGGAGCGGCGATGCACTGGTGCGCACGCACGTAATCGATCTGCACTCTAATTGATCTACTTCATAATCTGCCTCCCCGCAATCACGCAGAGATCAGACAACTTACCGCCCTTCGTCCACGAGGAACGTTACGCACCGGCATCCCAATAATCCCTCTGCATGAATTCGTCCTCGTTGCCACACGTCCTCGCAACCTGCGCCAAGCCTGACGCAAACTCTCACCTCATGCATCTCTATTCAATCCGCTTCGGCGCCCGTCCCGTGACTTCCCTCTGCCCATCTGAACAAGTTGACTGCCCGTTACGCTAACTGGACCCGGCGGTCTAGGTCCTCGCAGTGACCAGCCAGCCAGTCGGAGCCTGCGACTGCATGCGGGGATTCTATTTCTATGAAATTCGAACGGGTTCGAGGCATTCAAGCAGCGACGTTAGTGTGAATGCCGACTCCCTGCACTAGGCGCTGCGTGGTCACGGGTGAACCTCTCTTCGAGGTCGGCGTCTGCTACCTGTCTTTGTTCTGAAAGGCCGTGATGCCCTACAAGGTCCGTTTGCTATGCCGACAGGGTCGTAGGTCGTTGATTGTAGACATCAGATCTCGGAGAGCTTCCACCTTCTCATTGAACGAGTGTTCTAACTATCTGCAAGTAGACCGCAAACAGAATACATACCGAAATAATGTCAACACTTCCATGTCTACAACCCTTGCGCATCAATAGTACGATACTCGCGTGTCGAATGCCTTACTATATGCGATCGATCGCTCTCTCCCTGAGCATTGCATCGGACCAACTTTGCAATGTATCTGGCGGCCGCGGTCTACGCCAGCAATTCCAAACTCGCACGCACCAGTCTCCGTCTCTAAGCGACGCGGTATCCAATGGCCACAGCACCGTATTCATTATTATCAGCATTTATGACCACCCCTTCACCGGCGGGAAAAATTCGGCAGCGGCATTACTTGGACTCCATCGTCGACAATGCTCACTCTCAATGACCTTCCGACTGGTGCCGCGTATTTTCTTGCGTGGAGATAGAGCTGTTGTACTGCGCGACGCAACATTCGATTCTTCTTGAGATTAATCGGTCTTCCATTGCTTGATAACGTCCACCAAACGCCACACCAGTCTTACCACGCTGTGTTCGCAAAGTGAGAGAGACGTTACGGTATCAGCATTCCGCAGGCGTCGTCACGCGGGTATCCGGCTGATGCATTGCGCCATCCAGGTCCGGTAATCTATACGCGCATGTTTAAGCAGTCGACTTTAATTTTCAACTCTGTCAAGGTAGCTAGTGAGGATCATGTGGAACCCAAGGGCGCGAACTGCTCATGATCACACATTCCGCCTTTCGTTCTCCTGGGCAATTTTGGAGCGTCAGCATCATCTGATCGGAGGGACTGTTCATGATAAAGTCTATGGCCTTGGTTCGGACATAGTCATGCTACTCGTCTTCTCCGGTGCATAATCATGGCGCCAGCATCGGGAATGAATGCAAGGCAGCTACACTGCTGGACATTCGCGTCTGAGCCTCATACTGCGAGGCACAAATGAAGGAGGCCTGTCATTCGCTCTTGGAGCTCATCGAGCATCTGGAGGTAGCCGCAATATTCATCGATGGAGCAGCTCTCAGTCTTGACGATTGGCGCGGCGAAACGAAACCTTGCTGGGGAACATTCTGCTCAACTTTGCCTCAGCACGGGGATGCTCGCCCCAACAGTGCTCTTCAACTATGTATCGTAGCATGAGAAACTGGCTCACAGCCTACGGAGCTGTTGCACAATATGAATCCACCGTCTATGTGTCGTGCGATTTACCAATTTGAGCGCTTCTCTCAGGGAACGGAGCACAAGACATGCCGTCGCAGGCATGCTGAAATGTAATGACGGACACAAGCGGCACGGGTAGTTGAGACAAAAAGATATTACACGAGATCTACAGTGAGAGTGTATCTGCTAAGATTGGTTGTGAAGACCTGCGACGAAGTTCGAAATGCGTAACGGCCATATCGTACGGAGCAAAGAGGGACAAAATGCACAGGAAATTCTGAATGGAAGATCTGCAAGATGCAGCCGGATGAGACGGAGCGTACGAAGGTCGACGTGCCACTTACAGACTTGAACCGCAAGCAAACCATTCTCTCCGCTTACTCGTCATCC